GGAAAAGGTCACCAAGTGCTGCGACCCAGTCACATTGTGACATCGAGTCGCAACCGGATATTGGAGAAGAATGGGACATTTGTTCCATTTTTATTAGACAAGTGTATTTTTTTGTATCTAAAGAAAATAAAAAATAAAAAGTACAAGAATTCATATTTTTTTATTTTCTACAAATAGAGACCACGCTTGGTATATTTTAGAACACAATTGCAATTTTTAAATAAATCAAAATAAAATAAATATTTAGCATAAGTTTGGTTGGGGATAAAGATAAATTAGGTTGAAAGATTGAGTTGTGCATGTGGAGGGGAGAAATATAACTTTTAATTATTAGGTTGGGTTGGAAATAAGGATAGTCTAATATAATTTTATTGTTTATCGTTGACCAAAAAAAATAAAAAAAATCTCGCGATATGGGCTCCCTAGTTAACCTACAGCCCTCCCACCAAAGACATGAAACAGTACTTATGCTGCTACTTAGAACTTAAAACCGACCATTAGCATTTCTCATAATTACGCAGCATTGTTTGAAGCTCTGCCGGTTCTCACAAAGTACAGCAGTCACATACTTTATGGGGGAACAATTTTGGTTAATCAGTGTTTCAAAAGAGATTCTGAAAAAGTACATCCTGAATTAAACTAAATTATTATGCTACTGTTTATTTTACCATCACAAAAACTCTTAACCGACAGGCGCAACAAGTGGCTCGGGCTGAGGCACGACCTCAGGCCCGACAAGCCCATTGCGCCGGTGCCTGTCCAAGCCCCATAGCTTGGCGAATTTCACGTCATCTTAGGCCATCTGCCTAGAGAACTTCACATGGTCATATTCCAGTGTGGCCTTGTGTAGCGCCCCATTTGTTCCGGAATAATTGGATATTATTATTTGGCAATTATTTTATTTTCCAAATTAATTATTCGGGTTCGATAATTTTATTTCGATTATATGCTCGTAATTGCTAATTGTAGTAATTTTAAAATAGAGCCGAATAGTATTATTATGTATTTTATTTTCGGTCGAACTGAAAATTTTAAATGACCGGGACTTCGAACCGAACGAGTATCTTTGTTGAAATATCAAACCAGGCGGCCGAAAACCGCCCATTTTTCCTCCAAGCCCTGCCCGCTCGCATGCCCAGCTCACCGGTTCGAACCGGCACACACCCGCGTGAGAAAAACCAAACCCGACACCCTTCTCTCCCTCTCTTGCATGCATGGTCATGTTTATTTTGAATTTTTTAATTTAAATGTGGAACCTTATCCCACATTTTCAGCCCTTAAATCCCTTCTTTGACCATGGATTGGAGGTTACAAATTGATGCCATTAAAGAGAGAATAATCTCTCTTTTCATTCCCCTCATTCTTCCCCCACTCCCTCTCTCACGTTCATCTCTCCTCCTCCCTCACCTTTCACTCTCAACCTCAGCATCTCTCTCTCTTTTCTCACTTCTTGTTCGCCGGAAATCCCCCTCCCCCCCCTGCCCAAGCTTGTCGCCTCGCCGCACGCCCCGCTGCCACCACACGAAGTTGCCGCGAGCCAACTCCGTCAACCTCAACGCGACAACGACTTTCGGCCGTCGTCCTCTCCCTCCGACCAGCCTCCGCCGCCTCTGGTCTTCACCTCCATCGAGCGAGCCGCCGTTAGACGCCAAGCGAGCCAAGCGGTCGATCTTCCCTGCCCATTAGGACTTGGTCATCGTCGAGCCCTTCCGAAACCGAACCCGTCTTCTCTCCCCTTTGGTGTTTGGTAAATTTATTTTACTAAACTTCAAATCCTTTGTGATAATATATTATATTTGCTAGAATTATATTTTAACATATTTAAATGAGATTATTTGGATTAAGTGTTATTCAAACTATCATTTCAGGTGAAAATGCTCTTTCTCGCCGTTCTGTTGTGCTTCGGTTTAGGCCATCAGAGACTGATTATTTGAAATTATGATCTTCATGTGAAATGTATTATGTTTAGTTTGCTATATCTGGGCTTTGGCATTTCTCGATTCCGAGTTATATCGAATAAGTTATGATTTTTACAAGAATTTTGTGCGTTCAGTTTTTCCTGTTACCCGGCAGCATAGTTATATTTAATGTGTGACCTAATTATCATGTCTTAATGTGCTCGTATGAATTTATGCTCTGCATGAAAATTGTAGTTTTGTTTCTTACCTTTCAAATGAGATGAATTTCATATTGATATGTACTCTGTTGCTCGAGTTATGTTCTTATGAAGTTAAACATGCATGAGGTAGGACTTGTTATTTTGGCAGAAACCTGATGTTAAATACTAACTGATTTTACCCTATCCAAATGATCTTATATGCTTCTATGTTCTAAATGAAAGTTGTAGAGGCATGCTTTAGGTTTAATTTGAGACTTGAACCATATCATTTGGAGGTCTATAGCTCGAGTTAAGTTATAAAATCTGAGGTGTTGTCCATATCACATGTTAGTTTTTGACAGGTTTGCTGAATCAAATGTTTTGTGTTTAAACTCGTTGATAATGTGATTATTTGGGACATGTTAGTTTTTGACAGGTTTGCTGAATCAAATGTTTTGTGTTTAAACTCATTGATAATGTGATTATTTTCCAATGTGACCTCATCAAAGTTGTAGAAATTTGAGTTATCTATCATGTGGTTTTTTAATATCATTGAAAGCATGATGTAGCTCCAGTTAGCTAGCAATTACTGAGGTCTGGTCAATTCCTTTTTCCCTGTTTTGGATTGTGACTTAATTTTGAATGTTTACTGAGTTATCACCTGTTAAATGGCCTTATTTTCTTTCAGTGTCTTCATGAGAATTGTAGATACACGTCTTAGGGTTCCAATGCAACTTGATTCATGTTCATATGAGTTATGTGCTAATAGTTATGTCGGTTTTTAAAACAAGATGCCTGGGTTAAGTTTTCAAAACTTATGTGATATTTTCGAAAATGTGATTCCTTGATTTCATGCATGCTTAAATGCTTACGTGAACTTAGTTGGACTAAGTAATTGCCGAATAGTCTTTGATAGGGCTATTTTATTAAATGTAGGTGCTTGACGAGTCGAGCTCGCCGTCTACCCTTATATTTTGTGTTTATCTCGATTATTACCAGGTGGGTTCATTATGTTGAATTTACATTTATCGCACTCGTTATTTCGTATAAATATTTGTTGCGATAGCTTTTGTATGCGTGAAAACCCTAGTCTAAGTGTCCTGACGGTAGTGCCTTTGACGAATGCATAATCAGTGGAGGTCACCTGCCCGTTGCATCCGGAAGATGGACGCCCGAATCCGTGTAGAGCAGAGGGGAATGTCTGAACACCCGAATCCGTGTAGAGCGGAGGGGTAAGTCAACTCCATTGTCTCCTGGATAAGATCCTATGCCCGTTGCATCCGGGGTGGGAGTGTTTCCCGTTACATCCTCGCCGATGTCTGGTCGGGAGGTTTGTTGTATGTACATAGGAGGTTTGCGATAGGGACTAATAGGGAGTTAGATCTGGATTCTATGCATACATTTTTTGTAGTTATAAATCTTTATGTGAAATATATTGTGCGGTCATGGTGAGTATGATGGTTGTACTCACCCCCATTTGCTTTCCTGTCCTCTTGTTCCTCTTCCTATCTTTTTAGGTTGAGCATGGTTGGCGGCGGCAGCGAGAAACGATCGAGTGGTGGTCTTTGGAATTATTTGCCTTTGCTTTCGCTATTGCTATCTTGATGAACCTTGTGTTTAGTTTAAATAATTATGCTTCTGTTCCGATTTTATGAATATGTTGGATGAACTGTTTTTGACCATGATGAACCATTTGGTATGTCTTGTGACTTGAGTTGTTTGGTTTGAATTTTTATAACTGTTAGTTTTATTCATGTGTAGGTCCTTCTTATCTGTATTAAATTGTTTATTTGTTTGGTAGTTAAGCAGCGCCCGTTGATTATTAAAGTTTTAAATTGAGATTTTGCGAAAAATAAACTCTGATTTTTATAAATACATTCGGTAAATTCCATAAAATAAAACAGGGGGTTACACCTTGCCCCCGAATTCAGTCGGGAGATTCTCCGTGTCAAAATACGATCTCATCAGCTCCACACTCTCCTCCTTCTTTGGGTGCTCGAATTTCACCTTCTCAAAGGTTTTCGGGTCCACAAAGTACTTCACCACCTGCAACATGGATTTCAGATTATATCGACACGCAAAAAAGAAAAACTTGCACGCCAGATTATAGTTGTCAATTTTATATATAGCCCCATGTAATTTTTTGTTTAGCCCCATCTAATTTCGGGCTGGATATCTCAAGATTCAGGTCAAATTTATTCATTTAACAACAATGGTGGATAAGTGATGATCGAAGTGAGAGGGAATGAGACAATCCTTTATTGTCAAATGACAGTTATGCTATTATTAAATTTTTATCAATTGAGTTTATAATGTGGCTCAACACTCTAATGCCTTTTAAATTCTTAATGAGTTGATTTGATAAGTACCAAATGAGTTGGATAATTAAGCTTGACGCACACTTCTCCTGCGGGTTATTTTGGGTTTGTCTCATTGTACAGTTTATTAACAAGTTTCGTTCGGTTTATGTTGAATTCGCCTCCAATAAATAATTTGGCCTCATTTCGTAAATAAAAAAAAAAAAAAAAAAAAAAAAAAACTCTTACAGAGTTGATTGCTAGCATGTTCGACTCTAGTTGTTTGATCAACAAGTTCGATTAGCTATTTGAGTTTGACTTGTTTAATTGTATAAACGAGTCGAGATTGAGTTATCACAATTCGAACCAACATATGTAAATATATAATTCGGTTCTAGTCATGGCAAAACCAATTCCGGGTTGAAATCGCCAGCCGGAACATATGCACTGGCCGGTTCATTGAGTTTTCAGTTCTTGGTCGCCCGTCTCATTAAAAGAAATAAATATAATTAAAATATATTTTTTTTCAAAAAATAGTTGAACCTCTTGTTCCAATTCCAGTTCCAAACCGAAACTGCCGATTCAAAATGCATAAACTATAAAATATTGAACATGAACTGGACTGGTCAAAATCAAGGGCCGGTTCAAGACCCATGGTCAACGGGCCGAACTGGCGGGCCGACCTGGCCCATGACCATGTCTACTCGGTTTCAATAATAGCTATAATAATAAACAACCCTTGGTTAAAATTTTTTTTCGTTACGCCCCTGCAATTAGTTTTGATGTTTAGTGTTGAGCACCCAACAAAAATCTTTTTATGGTGATGGAGTGCCTACGGTGTGTGAGCAGAAAACTACATCTCAATGGTGAAAGCTTTTAACGAATTTTTAGGGAATTTCTATGATCTCCGAATTACCTGATTTGATTATATTGTCAATTTATCCAAAAATTACGTAACCATATTTACAGTTATGGTGTAAATATATTTTTTTATCTGATTTGATTTGATATTGCCAACTTTTAACAATGTTTTCAATTTTGAATAAGTGAAAATGTAATCAAGATATGAGATTCATAGTCAAATGGATTTTGCAGGCGGGGATAATTCAAATAAATTTAAAAAACCAATTGGATATGGTTTGAATTTAAAAATCAAAGAACATAATTTGATACCAAAAAATAAGGGTACAATTTTTAATGTATATTTGTGCAAATCTTATTTTTTAGAAAAAGAATGAAAAATGCATGTGGTGTAAAATAAATCTTTTAATGGAAAGTCAACCCATTTATTTATTTAATCAAAGTTTCTATTAAAGTATTTTTCCAACAACCTTTTTTATATTAGTATA